CTAAGGGTCACTAACTCACTGGCCACGGAGGGCGGTGAGGGTGCGAGACATACAGGCACCCGCACATCCACATATCCACCCATCGATCCATGCATTCAATACATATTTATTCAGCATCTATTCTGTGCTAAGCTGGGGAGTCAAGCTGGTCCTACAGTCCAGGAGAAGGCCGGCAATGAAACATTTTAATTAGATGTTCTCAGCGCCATCGAGTTCAGGGCACTATGGGAGTCTGAACCAGTTAGGCTTCGTGGGTTTGTAGAAGGACAGAGGGTAGGGAGGACATCAGTTGTTGACTCTGCCCCACCCACCTTGAACCCCTATTCACTATCCCGTGCAGTTCTACTCCACGCATGCACGTGTATTGGGTTCTCACTTTTTAAAGCCAAGATGCACCCTGGGAATACAAATTGAATTAAGACAGGATCCCTGTCTTCACAGAAACTGAGTTAGAGACGCTAAGGACTCAGCTACAGCATCAAGTAATGAACAAGGTGGAAGGAGTGAACAAATTCTACTCTTAACTTCCACCTAAAAGAAATCCAGGTATCTAGGGCTGGTAGAGTGCTTATTTGGCGTGAGTTAAGTCTTTGGGTACAACCCCAAGTACCTCAAAAATAACAGGGGGGAAGTTTACGGAATCTAGAAAGACATTGTCTGTCTTCCACACCCTCCCCCTTTCTTTTCTTCTACTGGCATCCAGGTCCTCACACATACTAAGCTAATAGGGGTTATACCCTCAGCCTCTAGAATTGTTTGAAGGAGGTAATATTTGCTTGAAGTTTGAATGAGACTCTTAAAAATGCCCCCCCAATTCTTGTATATATTGTTCCAAAAATTGATGGAAATTTTATTCTGTCAACTGGCTCTGGAAGGTAGGTACAGGGAGAAAAGCCTGAGCAAAGGTACCCAGAGTGAATCCTCAAGGTATTGGTCCTCCATTTCCCCAACTCCAATTTTCCCAGATGGCTAGATCATAGATATGGGTATCAGCATCCCTGAAAAAGAACTGACTGTGGTGTTCAGGAAAGATGATGGTCAACTGTAGCATGCCGATCAGGATCTGAAATTTCTTATGAGCTGCTCCAAGGTGTGGCTCAATCTTCCATAGCTGGAAGCACCAGCTCCAGGGGCTATGGCCATGGGCAGGTAGTTTGGAGTAGGTGTAGAACAGAGATTTGTAATTTGCATAGGCCTATAAAGCAGCTTCATTTGATACTCAAAATTTTGTTAAAGGATAAGAACAGTTTTCTGGGAAGATTTTATCAGATTTAAAAAGAGTTCCATGGGGCTGGGATTGTGGCTCAGTGGTAGGGCGCTCACCTAGCACGGGCAGGACCAGGTTAGATCCTCAGCACCACATAAAAATAAAGGCATTGTGTTGTGTCCATCTACACCTAAAAAATAAATTAAAAAAGAAAGAAGAGTGAAATTATTAAAAAAAAAAAAAAGGGTTCCTGATACCCTACGCCCCCAATAAAACAAGGTAATGAAACCATGACCTTAGGGCTCCAACTCTCTTAGACTAAGAGAACCGATGAGAAGTGGAGGAAGGTACTAACGCGCTTAAGGGAGATCCAGGCAGGCTTGGGTAGGTGGTTCCGCGGGAACCACAACTCCCAGCTACCCGTGCGGCAAAGCCTGAGCTTATTGGCCCGTGGGAAAGACCTTCTCCTAACGTGACACATTCAAAAGCCAATCGTTAGGGGAATTGAGGAGCCGACCTGGCCTACGCTCACCTATCAGAGGGCCGGGGGGCCGATGCTTCCGGTAGCTGTCCAGGACTTCTCACTCACGGTCTTGCGAGGTGCCCGGGGAGGTTGGTTTTTCTATGGGGCAGTGAGACCAAAGGTACTTTGTCTCCTCTGCTTCCGGGCTTGGCGAGTGTGGGGAGGTAGGGGTGGGCTGCGAGGGAGTGGGACCGGCGCTTGGTGGGCAAAGACGGGGAGGAGATCCCGGTGCGGCGAGAGGTGCGGAAGAACAGGGAGGGCCCCGTGTGAGGGGCTGGAGGAGGAGCACCGGGTTTAGACGAGGGAATACGTTTCTCGTGGTTCACGAATGATGTTTCTGAGACTGTCCTAAGGAAGTCTGGATTTTTTTTAAAATGCTTTATGCATAAAGATCTTTATCACAGCGTTATTTTTGTTTATTTTTGGTATCGAGGATTGAACTCAGGGGCACTGGACCACTGAGCCGTATCCCAGCCCTATTTTGTATTTTATTTAGAAACAGGATTCACTAAGTAGCTTAGCACCTCGCCGTTGCTGAGGCTGGCTTTGGACTCGCGATCCTCCTGCCTCAGCCTCCTGAGCTGCCGGGATTACCCAGGGCCTTACTTAAAAGCCACCGCGCCCGGCTCACAGCGTTATTTTTAGTAGAATAAAATTGGCCACGACCAGGGCTCTCCAGCGAGTAGAGTCCGCGCGCGGTGGTGCACACCTGTAATCCCGGAGACTTGGGAGGCCAGGATCGCGTTGGCAATTTACCGAGACTCTTGTGTCAAAATAAAAGCATAAAGGACCGGGCTTGTATGAAGCTCAGTGAAAAAAGGTGAATTCAACAAATCATGTAATTTCACTTTATGAAGTGGCTTCCAAAAAATATTTATAAAACTTTTAATAACATAGAAAAATATAATATATAATCTTAAGTAAGAAAGATGTTATACAGCGTTGCACAGTGTTAAATAAAATTTTGTAGGAGCCATTGACGTGAACGAGACTCCTGCACTGGGCCCAACAGACCGAACTAGTTTAATCAAAGTAGCTGAGTTTTAGTTAATTGAGGGAGGCTCTGTAACCAATTTAGCTGTAGCCAATTACGTTGTCTCTATACTTCATTTCCCTTTTCTATAAATGCTGTCATGATGTTCTAAGGATTTAGCAGAACCTGTTCTGGTTCTAGGGACTGCCCACAATTTAATTTTTGTTCTGTTTATAGGAAATTTTTGTGGTGCTGGGGATTGAACCCAGCCAGGACCTTGTGCATGCAAGGCAAGCACTCTACCAACTGAGCTGTATCCCCAGCCCTGTTCTGTTTATAATTGCTCAAATAAACTTTTTTCTTTTTTCCTTTTTTTTTTTTTTT